CCTCACTTAGTAGGATACTTTCATTATGAATGAAATTCTTTCCACACCTCTTAACTTTTCTACCAAACTTTAATATCCTGCACAGATGAGTCTGAGCCAGTCCTAACCAAGCATGCCCAGCTAGAGTTCTTTTACGGAGTAAATAGTTGTATTACATGTTAACTTAGTGATGTTCCTAACAATAGCTGGTATTCTTATATTTTTGACTTCAAAAGCTTTGCAACAGGAAACTGTTTAGCTCATCATACACAATCACAAAGTGCCATTTCTTCTCTGCCTTCTGCAAACCTCCATCCTCTTCAAGTGAGTGCTCTAGGAATGTGCCTGCAACCTTCCCTTGGAAAGGCCTTGCTATCCACCCTGGCTCCACATCTGCTGGCTTCAGTTTTCAGAAAAGATTGGCTTCCTATTTGGAGAGTGGAGTATTTCAAAACCAGATCCCTCCATGTGAATACTCTCTCCTTGTCCTGGTGGTTGACAATGGTACCACGCAGGTAAGCAGCAAGTGATTCTAGCTGGGGTCTTCGATCTCAGAGGGCTCATGCCACCTGCTCGTCCACTTATTTGTGTCATATGTGCTGTGGTGTATAGTCTCCTGGGCCCAGGATGAGATTAGAATGGAGATCCTCATGTCATGATTCTGGACCTGGCACTTGCTAGTATCATCATTTCAAGGTGCTTGGAATCTGAGACTTTAAACTCTATCTACTACAAAAGAATCTGAGTACAGACTCTGAGGCATGAAATGCCTGGGCTCTCATCCTAGCCCTGCTACAACTTAAGCCCCTGCATTCTTTGTGTGTACTATGAAGTTCTGGAAGGATCAGGAGGGGTGTCATGCTGTTTGATGAAGTGACACTCGGGCTGTGTGACACTTTGATGATGTGTTTGATGGATAGAGGTACAGGAAGGTTGTCTTGTTCCCAAGATACTGATCTGCCCTTTTCTGGACCCACCAGCATGTGAAACATGCACATAGGATTGAGCACGCACACACACATGCACACGCACACACACACTCACACACACTCATACACACTCACACATGCACAGTCATGCACACACACACATGCACATGCACACACACACATGCACACACACACACTCACACACACACACACAGGCATGCACACACACATGCACATGGATGGAAAGTCAACTCTGTCTGTCCATTTTTGTAGAACGGAATTGGGGTGGGGGTAGACAAGAAAAGATAAGAAAAGTTGGAAACATTAAAGAGATTAAATATGATTAAATTATAGTGATTTTTACTTTCTCCTTTTATTTGTTTTCAAATCTAAAAATCTCTACATGTAGGCTTTTATAATTAATAAGGAAATAACTTACTTTAAACAGTTAGCAGTTGTCTTTTCCTGCTGTGTTTTGAGATTTTGCATCTCTTAAGAATCCTTGTTTCACTGGCAAAGAAAACAACATGACTTCCCAGGGCTAACCAGATGAATAGACTCATCCCTATAATTAACAGGCCTTGAAAATCAACAGTAGAAAGAAAGGCCTCATAAAAGTGGATTCAGATAGGTACTGAAGGATGCTGATATTTGTAATCAACCACAGCACTCTTTGACAGTAGCTGTGACTCAGGGTTCTTCATCTGAGAGCCTGTCATCCAGACTGGAAATGAGGCCACATTTGCATACTCATTGGACAACTAACTATGGGAGGCCACACATGAACAAGTTATGCAAATATGTCCTGCTAGTTTGAGCTTACTTGCTTTGTAAGGACCAGAGTTTCCATTTGTACCATCTTGATCCACATAGGTCTTTTTTAATAACATGAATGAACTTTGATACTAGAGGAATGGGTGATGTAAAAATCTGGGTTCTGGCTGTGTGGAGAAAATGGCAGGCCCATTTTCCAATAAGTGACAACTGGCTGATTCTGAGCAGAGGCCTGCTTCCTTCCAGACAGGGTGTGGGCTCTCCAGCTCAGCTCAACCACCCTCGTCCCTTTTGGCTCTCCTGTTCAGTTTGATAAGGAATTCTCCTGTATAACTTATGCTTTGTGATCCTTGCATCATAATCACTTCACCTACATAGAGAAAGCAAGTAAAGCTGTTATGTGAGATGGCCGTGTCATTCGCTGCTTCTATGTGATCTTACAAGACTAGATAGTTTTCCTTTGTGGAAACAGAGGCCTTCCTACTGTAATCTACCATCCATGTCACTGTTTTTCTGTCTTCATCCGAAGACCAGGAACTGAAGAGGGAGCTCTGCTCCAGGCTCATTTACCCCCTGAGGGCCAGAAACTATTTAAAGCACCAGAGAACCCTGAAGGACTCTTGATGCACTTGTGATCATTCAAGATGCAGCGATTTTTTTGTTTTGTTTTGTTTTGCCTTGCCATTTTTGAAGAACTGCATTATCATGCCAATTGGGCTTTCAGTGATCACACTTAAGATATTCCTCTATGAGTGGACTGTGGTGTCATGATTAGTCTTTATAGTCACACCAGGGCACATATGTACACATACAATCATCTGGCAAAGGAACTCCCCCAGATCCCAGAAGGACAGCTATTCCATATAACAAGGGACCATGGTAGTTCCTTTCTGTGGCTACAGACTTGTAATAGGCAAGGAGTCAGCCCTGCTAATGCATTTCTGAAAAGGTTGAGGAAGATCAATCCTCCTTCCAAGGCATAGCAGAGAGGCAAATCCTAATTGTGGTTAGCTGGGAAGTATGGCTGCCCTTAGAAAATAATGTTCAGTAATTGATGCTTTAATCATTGATGATTCTTTTCCAACCTCTCACTCCTGATTGAGCTTGGCCAGAATCTTTATGGTCAGGAAAAATACTACAAGGTTCACAGTTCAGGGGAAGAAGTCTTCTTTGTCATTACTGATCATCCCAAGCATAGAAGACGGAGTCATAATGAACACCTTAGTGGGGAAATATCCAAAAATATAAATTTTTATAGACATCTTAATCTTGAGAAAAACAAGCCACCCAGAAATTTGGATTAGACAATCATATCTGAACCTTAGAAGATATCCTCCCTCCAAAGAATTTGAGAAAAAATTCCTACCAAAATAAGTCAGCTCTTGTTGACTCTAACACAACATTAATTCCAGTGGCACAGGCACTTCCTAATCCCAAGAGCAGGAAAAAGCTTCTCTCGCTCTCTTCTCAAGTACTTCTGATGTCTATTAGGAATGAATCATGTCATTCTTAAAGGATGCATTTTGCTCAAAAAATTGAGATCTCATCTCTGTGTGCTTAGGATCTGGAACAGTACGAGACTCATATTCAACCAGTGTTTGTCAAAGGTGAGAAGAAAGGTGAATGAAGGGAAGAAAGGAAACTCAAACTGGATGCATCAGACACTTTGGTCTACTTACCAGAAAGGTCCAGATCCTTCTACGAAGTCTTTGTGTACATGCTTCTGTGTCTTGAGTATTATTTTCATTTTATTAGTAATGAAGTCTAAGTACCTTTCAAAATACATCAAAACCCATTTTTTTCAGGAAGCCTCTGGTACCCATCTCTTACCTCACCACATTCTCTTCCTTTTTACTCTTATTTACACTCACAAACAATTAACTTCTTACTTTGAGCTCAGGGACTTCTGCTTTAAGTGTTTTCTCTTGGTGACTAACTTAGGAACTGGGAGGCAAAGGTTTTCTTGTGTTTGTTCATCTTCTAAATTCCCAGAATAAAGCATACACTTTGGGGTGGATAAATATATAATAAGAAATCCCCAACCCTTTCATGTTAATCTGCAAGACACCTAGCTTAAATTTTAAATTATCTGAGAATTCTATCTTGGGCAAATGGATCATCTATTTAGTTGAGCTCTTCATTTGGGAGTTTTCTGAGTAACATTTCTGGGTCACTTCTTGTTGTTGTTGCTTGTTATCAAGGCGGTATGAGCAACTCATTTCAATGTCAGCCTCAAAAACAATATAACCTAAAGTACCCCATATCAAAAATTCAGATAATTCCTTTAAAGTCAACTATAAATGGCATCGTGCTTACTTCCTTAAGTATGCTATTTGTGCTATTTAAATGCTTCTGCATTTCCTTTATTACACAAAATTACACAGAAACAAAAGAATAACAGATAATGAACAAAAATTTTTAAGAAGATTACTCAGACTCGGGTAGCATAAGAGAACTATAAAATGACTAAGGGAAATTGAGACTCAAAAAAACAAACATGTGAGGTCATGAGATCAGCAACGTATAGTCTCTTTATTGAGTCTGTAAAGTATCCTGTAGGAAATGAAGAAAGCTGGAAGACTTTCATGATGAAAGGAATGTAGTCAGCATCTACGTGTGTGTCTGTGATGTATCACACAGATAAATGAGGCACACCAGTTGGGTACAGGGAAGAGATATTGAAGATGTTCACCAGAGAGAATGTAAATGGGTGGCTAATTTTATATGAGTTGCAGGGTACCTTACTTTAAATATTTTTGATGATGTAATGTACATAACCAGATCATGCTGCTGATTCCTCCTCCTTCTCCTTTGTCTCCTCTCTCTGTCTCCTCCTTTCTCTCCCCCACCATGTGTGTACTTAAATGTGCACGTGCAAGCATGAATGCAAATGCACTGTTTTGTACACATGTGCATATGCTCACACACCTTCATTGTTAATTTGGTACCAAGTCAAAGTGTGGATGTTACTGCTAGCTGTCGACTCCTTAAACTCAGACAACAGACACGAAAACACAAAATAATCAACAGTGGTATTATTCTCATTGTGTTCTTTTTTCTTTCTGATTTGTATGAGGCAAAGGGCTTCCAGTGACTCAGAAAAACAAAATCAAATCCCTGAGTCCTAATCCAGAACATGTTTACTGCTAACCAGAGATTTTAGTTTGCTCCATTGACTGCTTAGGTTTTTACTGAGCCTTTAATTGAGACTGCTGAATCCTAGATGATAGCAGGCATGTGGCCATTTAACCAATGATACAAGAACACTCAGAAACAAGAGTTAAGAAAACCCAATCAACGCACAAAGCTACAACATCCTGCATTAATAAAAGTTTTAATGCACACTCAACTAAAAGATGCATATAAGGATGACGGAATCTCCATTCACAAGCAGCCAACAGGATTGGAATTTATCAAACAAAAGTTCAGGTTGTACGTTTTACAAACCATTAAAGTTGAAGGGGAAAAATAAAATTAACAATGAAAGCATTACCAAAGACTTTAAAATGGGATGGGATGATTAAAGAAAGAATTCAAGTATTGTTGTAAAGTTCTTCCAAAATATCTTCGAATAGTTTGTGCATTTCCTGTCTTTGCATAGGAAAAACAAAAGAAAGCACATCACTTGGCAAAACTCCACAGCTCTAATGTGATTCATGTTTCAAACATGCACCTATGTGTACTGCTCACTTAGCTGGGAAGAGTAGCTCTAATTCAGTGGGCTCATGCACTACCCCAGGTGAGCAACAAAGTTAGCGCACACCTCCTCATCCAAGCATCATTAATTATCGCAGCAAAATGATAGCAAGTGAAACGGGAACTTGGTCATCACTTAACACTTTTGTTGGGTAACACTAAACATGGTAGTCTTGTGCTTTGAATTCAAATTAATAAGAAGTATTCACATCACAAAATAAGCAAATGAATGGCATGTGCAAGAGAAAATGAAGCAAAGAGCTTGAATCCACATAACCTAACGCCACTGGAAATTATTCTAACCCATTGTGTACAGTATGATTGCGTTACCCTTCATGTCCATACACAGTTTAAAGCTTGTGCATTTTACATACACACACAGATAATTTAACATTGGAGCATAGGTTTGTTACCTATGAAACTGATAGTGTAACAAAAAGTTACACTGACATTTGTCATATGTACATAATATTTGGGGACCACTGTGGTCTGATTTAAAACATAACATCGCACATTTACAATGTTGTTTGTGAAATGCTCAAAAGTCAATGATAGAGATCTATTTTATAACTGGCATGGTTTTGTGTCAAATAAAGTCACCACGGTGCCTTGAAAATAGTAGTGAAATGAGTACGGTGTGGTTGGCAGCTGCTTGGTATCTCATAGTGAAGTGGACCCCTAAGCAATGTAACAACAGGGAGAGACACCAAGTCATCTGAGTTTCCTCCAAACTAAGCCACTGCCATTCAGTAAAGGGGTACAACCTGTGTCTTATAAAACCAGGAATAAGGCCAATAAACCTTATAGATAGCCCTGTTATCACTATATAAGCAAACAGCAAGTTCAAGCAAAAAGACTGCATACCTGCATAGCACCTGTTTCTCAGAAAGCCATCCGAGGATTAGGATGTTAGGTTATGGTCTGGGGTAGTATATAGCAATCAAGATGTCTGCTCTATGCATGTGAAACCTCAATAACTAAAGATATCTTGGGGGAATGAGGGGGAAACTCCAGTTTTAAGCAGTCCATTTTCAGGAAATCATCCCTTCTAGTCAAGAAAAAATATTGTAACTGCATGAGTCTTACTGGAAAGGGGTTTATAGCCAAATGTAGAAAGTATCTCAATACCAGGAAGAAATGCATAGTTCACAGGAGTCTCTCAGGGGTCTGAAGTCTATATGAAGCCATCATGTACAAGTCTGAACATCTGAAACAAAGCTGGTGGGGAATTTCTTCAGTATCGTGTTCCCCTAACACTTTAATGGAAGCTGTCCTAGCAATACGTTGAAAAGGGGATGAGTGAAGATGAGGGAAGCTCAGGGAGACTTGGGAAGGCCGAGGTTCTCTCTTCCCCAGCTACTGGAGGAAAAAGAGGAGTGTGAACTCATACACAGTGGAATCCCATCACAGTCCACCAGAGTCCACGAGCCAGAAAAATACCGAGGGCCAAGCGAGCTCCGGAAATCACCATGCCAAATGACAGGCCCAAATGAGCAGAAGGCTACCTGCTACTCTGCCCTACCACACTGGCATTCTGTCACACAGATTTTGAGGCAGAAAGACAAAGCATAAATGAAAGTTGACAAAAATACAAAGGAACAGAATGGAAAGCTTAACTTTTCTCCAAGCTTTCAACCCTTAAAAATTACTAATTTTTATTTAAGGCTTTAAGTTTCTCCTCCTTTCACATTTAAGACAGGGAAAGAGAACTGGCTAAACCAAAAACTAAAATGTGAGCTTGGCACTTTTGTGATTAATTCAAGAAGGGTCTCTGTTTTCTTACATTATATACATGTGCTTAGGATCACATCAAAAATTTTAGACTCATCAGTACATATATACTCACATTTACATAATTTTTGTGTTCTTGATATGGGTTGTTTTGTGTCCTCCCAGTTTTTTTTTGTTTGTTTGTTTGTTTCAAGCATACTAGCTTTGTTTTGTACCCAAAATTCCTGCATCTGGGGCTACATCTACCTTGTTAAGCAAGCCCAACAATCACTGGACATGTTATAAGAGAGGACAGAGAAAAAGAAGGCAAGAAAACAAGAGAAAGGAAGGAAAAGGAGGACGTGGAGCAAGCAGCAAACTCGTGTAGCGAGGACCTTTGCAAAGAAAACATTTCAATACAGACAAGCGAAAACGGCATGTCAAAATCTCTTATTTCCATATTTACATTTATAAAAGAACTATACAGTAGTATTGTTCAAATGCCAGCTCCTATTTCCAAAGGATGCTTGGTCCAGGAGACAAAATAATGGGAAAAATGAATCAGCAAGCGCACAGTCCGCTGAGTGCTGCCATGGGCTGGTCAGGGTGGGCAGGGACATGGAAGTGAGGGAAAGGGATCCGGGGGAAGGGAGGAAGGATGGAGGGGATGGAGGGGGAGGCATTATCCAGGCCCAGGCAGCTTCCATGTATTCATCTGTCATCTTCCCCTTAGGACTTCCACTGTAAGTTTTGCTGAAGATCGGCTTGCTAGCTTGGTGTTATATAGGCCATGCAGTTTTTACCCTTTCCAAAATTGGATCTTCATGCCACTGGAGTTTGTCTTTGATAGTAAAGGGAAAAAATCATGCCAAATCACTTAGAAGATATTAAGTGTCAGCAGGCTAAGAGGGAAATCATTTGCTATGTGTTCTTTTATTACACTTTGCTGCTGTTCCTTTCTCCTTTAGTTAAAAAGAAAAAAAAATAAAGGATTCTGAACAGTTTTTTAAAATGACATGGTCTTAAACACCCTCCCCTTTATTGACAGGTGGTAGGAGGGTCTACTTGAAGTTATTTCCAAAGGGGCAGTTGTCTTGTACCCCATTCCCATTCCCACATTGGAGTTCCACAGTCATTACCACCCAAGGGTCTTGTTTATAGACTTAAGAGTTCCGGCAGCATGGCTGAAACATGCCGTACCCAGAACCCAACAGTTCAAGGCGGCATGCTTGCAGTGCAGATGATTCAGATGGGACCTTGCTGCGTCGGATCGAACCTCCTCTTCTTGACGTTTCTTCCAGAGTACATTAAAAGGAGATGCAGGAAGAGGAAAAGAAAAGCCACAATATTAATCAGATGATGGTGAGAGATAAAGACGACAACAACAACAATGCTAGTTCCAGAGCGGAGTAACCAGTTCACACAGAGGCAGTCTCCAAAGTAACTCAAAACACAGGAGAGCTAATGTTTTGGGTTGTCTCCACACTTCACCACGAGATGACACACTTTGGGGAAGATCAAGAGAAACTTCAAGTTGTTCGCTTTCGATCACAAATTGGCCTAAATTTGGAAGTAAATTTCATTGCTAGTTCACTAAATGAGAAGTACCACCAGGACAGCCTCTTCAGTATTTCCTCCCAAGTGAACTAAGAACAACTCTGAAGGTCTTGTAGTTGTTTCTTCCAAGCCTCCAGAGATCTGCACCAACAGGCAGTTTCTCACCAAGGTAACAAAAAAGCCTTGTTGTGCCTGGTTAGTTCTGCCTTGGGTGTGTGAAGTCATATTCCACTATGGAACAAGCACTTTTCATGGTGGAAAGTTGGCAGACAGAGTGCACAGGGAGGCAGTACACTCAGGAGAATGGACACAGGCCCAGGGTTAGCCAAGCAAAGGCAGCAATTTAGCACTGTTGAGAAAAGCAAGTTTGAATGTCTTGCTCACAATGTCCAATCTCCTCAAAAGTGGCTCCCTGTGCTTGGAGAGAGAAAAAAAACCAGCAAGACACAACAAGGCAGTTAACACAAGTTGGCTGTAACCTCCCCATGGTCTGGCTTCATGTGGGGCATCAAGCAAGGGGCTCATGCATTAGTCTGCATACTGGCGGGTTCACACTGCTGCCACCAAGGCATCATGCAAAACTGGAGTCTGAGGAGCCCTCCGCTCCCTCATTCCCCTGCCCATTACTCAGAACCAACCGGATGCCTTTCCAGGCCCTAAACACCAAAATATTACAACAGACACCTCCTCACCAACATGCCTTTCTACACAGAAATACTAACAGCTTAAAACAGGTAGGAAAGTGTCCTGCAAAGTTCCTATCTTTCCCAGAAGGCCAACTTTGATGCTTCCTTTATGAAATATCAAAAGCACTGCCATTTTCAGCAAAAATCTCCCTTTTCTTTTTTCTTAAACTGCCATTGAAACATGTTTATGAAAGTTTGGGCATGTGGTACTTTGGCTTAACAACTTAATCTGTTGCAGCAAATATTCTTTACATTAGAGCTATTGACTTCTTACCACCCAGTCCTCTGTGAAGTCAACAATCTTGAGTGCAGGAATTGCTGACTGTAGGAGAAGCATAGGTAAGAATGCAGGGGACATTTCCACAATGTCTGTCACCAAATGAACTTGCTGCAGGGCTCAGTACCTACATCTGCCATCAAGACCCATGCTTTCTGAGAAGATATTTAAGAGAGGTATTTCCTACCAAAGACTTTGAGGAGAGACACACTAACAGCCTCATCAACTGCCTATCCTTGAGAAATTACTCCAGAGGACCAGGAACCCTACCCAAGCCAGCTGTCCATTATTGGAACTCAGGAGAAACATCAAACTAGCTCAACTAAAGGTAAATGCTGAGGACAGAACAAACCCAACTTGCACTGAGCAGGACATGATCACAATAACCATCTCTAAGTTCTTTCATCCAAATGCAGAGCATATCCAAGGTCAGAACAACCTGGTGACATGTTTCTAAAGAGAGATCTGAAATTCTACTTCATCCTGGTACCCAAGAAACTCCAGTGTCCAAAAGTGTATGCTCCTCTTCAACATCTGTTTTTGAAACTTAATTTGCACTCCTCCCATAGAACAACATTGTAAAGGATTACTAGATTCTTTGGTCAGACTAAGAAGTCGGTACCCTATAGAGCCCTATGTTTTCACTGAACAGTACCGACAGCAGACTGGAGGCCATTTTCTCTTCCACTGAAGTCCTAGCAGTGAAGAAAGCAAGCTGAAGTGCAGGGGAGAAGGAAACTACAGGTGAGAAGAGAAGGATAACCCAGTAAACCCTCCGTGAGGGTCCCTCACAGGTAGGCCATCCATCTACTGTGGGCCACCGTATATTGAGCACTACCTGTCCTGAATTTCCTGTATGAACGTAAGGCTCTTTTTCTTCAGTTCTAATGTGAAAGTGAAAACTATAATCAACAGGTCCTTGCTGGCTCCCCTGCCAAACTGTTTTGTCTGAATGCTCTTTGCTCACTGGAGTTTGAAGCAACTTTGTTATGACAACCAGGAAGGTATTTCTGGACCATTGTAAAGCATCAACAAAATCCCTAGGTATTACAATGACACGATTTTATCAATTTTTTGTACTTGTAGGAATTCTAAGCTTTTGCCTTTAATGCTTGTAATTATATGCATATACATCCATACAACATTAAACATCTCTAGGTAACAATAAGCTACCATGGGTCTTTTGAACAGGATGTAGAGTTACCTACTTCTATCACCTTTAAAAGAATCATGTGTATGACTGTTATGCCTGCAAATATATAAGTGCATTCACTCACGCCCACTGTCCTGGGATTCAGGAAGAGAGCACCAAATCTGCTGGAACTGGAGTTTTAGTCTGTTGCAAACAACCATGTAGGTGCTGGGAACCAAACCCCAGTCCTTTGCAAAAACATCAAGTTCTCTTAACTGTTCAGCTATCTCTAGCCAACTATTGTCACATTCTTTATCTTAGCCTCCATGTCCATCACCAAGCCCCCCCACACCCCCAACACACACCTAACCTCTAGGCCACCTTGGATTGAGTTTACATCCTTAGGGATTTGAGTCAAGGAAACACATGTGTTCCTGGTTAGTCTGACATCATGGTGATGTCCAAGGGTCTTGGACAATAAGTATGCAGCTCTGTATTCTGAACTGGAAAATTACATGGAATTTAGTTACAATGCTCACAGAGAAACTGATTCAAATTTATTCTATGTCCTAACTTTAAGAAAATTAAAATACTTCCACTCCTCATCAAGATTCAGTTACTTTTCTGGCTATAGCCCTTCAACTGTCATTTTAGAGAAGGACCAACTGTGGCAATCTTTTATTTGCAGAAGAAATGGAACAGCCTGTACCCCAGGCTAACAACAAATGGCTTAGAGCTAAGAGAGGGTTCTAATGCAAGTGCTTTCTCAGGGACAGACCCACCTGTGATAACTACAACTTTGTTAAAGGGACATCTCATCAGGGACTGCCCTAAGAGGTTAATACAGTTTCTGCTGGCAATGCTGGAAACCTACTTTGTCATTGCAACCTATGGAGACCAGGTGGGATAGTGGGGCATGTGACAGAATTCCAAAGATGAAGACATCATAACATGGTGGGAGGGCCCACACTCATTCTGGAATCAATCCCAGCAAAATATGCCACTGTCACCTTCATGTTCTTTTCATGCTCCACCAAGAACTTATTTTCCCCATTGCTATCACTTGTAATACTGATAAATATTGTGCACAAGAGCTCACACCTAAATTCTTATATTACAATTTGGGGAGTTGTACTGGCTAGTTTTATGTCCACTTGACGTAAGCTATAGTATCAGGGAGGAGGGAGCCTTAATTGGGAAAATGCTTCCATAAGATTGGGCTGTAGGCAATCTTAATTAATGTTTGGTGGGGAAGGGCCCAGCCCATTATAGGTGGAGCCCCCCCTGGACTGGTGGTTCTGAGTTCTATAACAAAGCAGACTGAGTAAGCCATGAGGATCAAGGCAGTAAACAGAACTCCTCCAAGGCCTCTGTATTAGCTCCTGCCTCCAGGTTCCTGCCCTGTTTGAGTTCCTGTTCTGGCTTCCTTCAATGGTGGACTGTAATATGGAAGTGTAAGACAAACCATTTCCTCCCCAAGTTGTTTGGTTGTTTGTTTGTTTTTGTCATGTGCTTTATCCCAGCAGTCGTAACCCTAATTAAGACAGGGGTGTTGCATAAATATTTTTCTTTAAGGTGATAATAACAACCCTGTTAATTTTTAAATGCATATGTAAAATCTACATTCCATTTTCCCTAAGCTTTGGGGAAGATGCTACTAAAATAATCTATCATCTATTTCATTTGTTTCAATATCCAGTAAAAAGCAGTAACTCTAGTAGTTTAATTGAGTATCACTATTATTCAGCAAGAATTAGGAATCAGGGGCTCATGAGTTAACCATGACAGAGCTTAGTGATCCCCCGGCCACAACTCACAGCTTCATTCTGTAGGTGAAGATGAAAAGTATGGGCCAAGAACAGTACAGGCAGATGCAGGAAGAAGGGGGACAGGTTGGTGTGCCATGGCCTGTATCCACAAATGGCCTATTTTCTACAAATACCTCAGAATGAACCACAAGGTTCTCAACACCTGGAAACTCACCCTCTCAATCGTGCCTTAGCAGCCTCAAGACCTCTAGAACATGGAGTGTGGATTTAACCAACATCCCTGCATGCCAGTTTTACATAACTCGATATATCTGAATGCATGAACTCAATAACAAGAATCCTAACAAAGAGCACTTCTTTTTCTTTTTAGGGAATTCTACAACTTTGCATGTGGACTGTGTACATTAACCAAATGTTTCAGACTCTACTATCTTACAAAAAAGAGACAACCTAATTTTGTGTTAATTTTGGATCACGGTAATTGTGATACATTTGCATGACCTTATATACATAAAGTATACCCACTCGCACATATCAAAATCCTCCCAAAGTCATATCTTTCAACACTTAATCCAGAAGTGTGTACTGTAAGGAAAGAATCAGTAAGATAGCAGGTGACAGCATAGTTGTTTCTCGCTTCTCTCTGTATGCCTATGCAGGTAAAGGATGGCCGTGACTATCTTCCACGCCTAAATTACTCAGCAAATCACATCTAGAGGAATGTGACACTAGGAAAAAGTGCTATCTCCAGGTCAATTGCACCTGTTCTTTTCATCTTAAAGTTTACACACCCTCAAAGGCTTCAGGCGACTTTGCTCGCTCCTCTTCTGGAAATAATGCCCCCATTTCAGGAAGGATTTCCAACATCACTAT